TGTCAAAACACAAAATAAAGTTGTGAAAAAATAAAAATCAAAAAGAATAAAATCAAAAGGATTTTCCGTAATTTTTTCCATATTTTTTGGATTTAAAACGAATTTTCTATGAATTTTTGAAATTTAAAACAATTAAATATAAAAATCAGAAATAAAAAATAAAGTCAAAAATATGTGGACCATTGGATGAGAGTCAAAACGTGTTAGTAATCAAATCCAAGGGATCTGGTGCGGTGTGCATATCATGGTCATTAATGAATAAAGCATAGGATTCAATATAAAATCAGAAATTCAAAAATTCCAAATAGCGTTGTTTCATTGGTTGAAGGATGACACATTGGTCATCCTTAACCTCCACCCAGTCTCAAAACCAGATCGCTCAAACTGTAAAATTAGAGTACGAGACCGGTACTATTCGCTTCGTCTCATCAAGACGAAGACAACCACACCTTCGCGAAAAAATTATGTAAAATTATGTAAATTGTAGTTCCAACAATTTGGAAGAGAAGTTTTGAAAAGGGATTTAAAATTTCATGGTCAAAATGTATTTCCAGTTAAAAGCAAGTGTTGCAACTAGAACCAGGATGACAAGAGCTTCACAATAGTATCAAAGTTTATGAGAATTGATGGAGGAATCTACCTATTGAAGTTAAGTTGCAAAGCTCTGAAACTGGACTTGGCTAGCACGATTCAAGGAGTTTTAGAACTTGATTCTTCTTATGTTAGCTCCAGTTAGGTTCAGGGAAGGTTAATTGATAAAGAAAATGGATTAAAGAAAGCTAGAATACTGATTTCGCAGTTACAGAAAAGTGAGCTATGGAGAGAGTTTGACAGAGTGATTTTGGTTGTTCAAGCTTGACAAAAATGAATGAAATAGAGCTTGTATTTATAGGAGAAGTGAATGGGGTCAAGAGGAGGGGGTGGATGATGCAATTTGGAGGGAATTCGTGCACACTTGTGATGATGAAGAAAGTGTGATCACATGTGCATCAAAACTCATCCAAATGATGTGTTTTGACACTCTAAATGGTCCAAACACATTTGCCAATCAAGTTTAAGTGTAAAACGCGTAGAACTTTTGTGATTAGAAGTTGTATTATGGAAATCAAATTCTGACTGTTTGAGAAACTTCAGTTCCAAGGTACCATTTTTGAACCAATGGCATTTTCAACTCAAGGGGTCTTAGAGCATAATTCTTGAAGCTTTAGAAAGAGGAAGTTTCAAGATTTGCAATGGTAAAAGAATGGGATAAAATGGTTGCTTGAGCTGAAAGTTACAATGAGTCAAAGTTGGGAAAAAGAAGTTGACTTTCCATATTTAGAAAATTTCTAAGTTTTTCTTCAAAAATGACTTATAATGTCTTGCATCCAAACATGCCCTTCCACTTGGAATTTGTTCTTGACCAAAAAAATATGGCATGAAGTAGATCTCTTGAATGACATTTTGAGACTTGAACCATTCAAAATTTCCAAAAATTGATAGATTTATGACTTGTTGAAGTTGGCAAAAATTCATGAAATGACCTATAATCTTTTGCATCCTTAGGGAATCTTCCATCCACTTTTGCACTTTGCACTTTGAAGATGGGTTGAATTTCACACATTCAAGATCATTATGGAAAATAATGGGTTCAAGGTGATAAAAATTGATCATGTTATGATCATTTGAAGTCACGTGAAGGGATTTGAGGGTTCATCTGGAAGACTTATAATCTTTCTTCTTCATCAAGTTTCTTACACACAAAATTTCCTTGAGACCTTTCAATTGATTTGTTAATAACCCTTTGAAGAGAAGGATGTCTTTGGAATCACTCAAAAATATCAAAATATGAGCAAGATATACCCCTTTGAAGTTTAAAACCCTAGCTCCTAGAGTAAGAAAATACCTTGGGGAGAACTTTGCAATTTTCATCAACCTTCTTGCACCAATACTTTTATCTTCAAAATAGAGTTTGTTGAGGATGATAATGGGAAGTCATAGCAACCAACATCACTTCCACATCTTGAGAATTGAAGGAGATATGCACTTGTGATCAATGGAGACAAAGACTTGTCCAATTGAGTCAAACTTCTTTAGTCAACCCTTGTGCTTTTGAGCTAATTTTGAAAACTTGAGGCATAATGAATCATGAAATACTTTATCATGATGTTAATTCAAAATATCTTTCATAGAGGCTTGAATCTCAATGAAGTTTGCTGAGGAAGGTACAAAGAAGGAACTCATGAATCCAAAAGTTAACTTTAATGGAATGCATTGTGCTTTCACCTACATCATCAACAATTTGGATACACATACATTGTATTTGTTATTTAAAGAGTAATCAAAAATAGATGATCATAAAATATAAGTCAAGGTTCTTGGTGATTCCCCATAGAGCAATACTAAAGATAGGGAGAAGAAACAAACACTAGTGTGTGACTTTGTTGTGATTGAATTGATATGATATGATGAAGGGATCTTAGGGGCAAAAATTAGGGTAAAACAAAGGGAAGTCGAAGTCCCAAGTCTTTGAATACGACCTCCTACATAGGGAAGGAGTCATGGTTGAACTCCGAGCATATGCGAGAAGTAGGCGTCGGCCGCAGGATTTTGAAGTTCCTTTGGAAACCTTCCTGGTCTCCTCCATACTCGACGACAGTATAAGCTTGCCTCCTAGTGCGACTATATATCGAGGCTATTCCTCGAGGCTCTGCACCGACCCAAGCCAAAGTAGAATCTTCGATTGTGTTGACCAAATTGATACCATCCTCGGCTACACTGGTCTCTTCGGTGTCCATATGCTCTGACGATTCGGGAGTGTCGGTCATTTACCTGCAAAGTAGAGGAAACTGGTGAATTCGACAGCAAATCCAAATCCACCCTTCCACGATGCAGATGAAAAGGCTAAGTAATGCCCAACCCAAGTCGACAGTCATTCGCGCAGAGAGGGAAAATACACGGCTCTCGACCAGTCCATGAAAATCATGCCAGTCTTATAAGACCACACAACGATCGTAACGACGAATACTTTTTCATGCGAACACTTTTTCACGAATACCCCTGGCACATGATGAATGCAGTGAGTGAGATATGAATTTGCCGGCCAAACTCATGAATCCTTCGGGGATCGCATAAATTTCTTGCGCAAAAATCATGAATTTCACGGGAATATATGAAGACTACAGGGAAAATTCGTCTAAGTGTCGGTGACAAGATAAATACCGCGGGCTCAGTCACGAATAATACGCCTAAATCAATGAATCCCCCAAGCAAAACCCCCCAGTGGCTAAACCCTACTACTAAAACGGCATCAAAGTCAATCTAAACAAAGAATATCACGGAAAAAATACTTACTTGGAAAAGAATAGATGAAGAACGACGGTGGTAGATAAGGAACACACGGCGGATTGTGCGACGGCGTCAGCGGTTACAGAGAACGACACGGCGTTGGCGGTAATGAGAGTGAAGAGTGCGAAAATATAAATGTGAGTAATGGGCCTTGAGGCGCTATTTATAGAGCTGACGTGGAATGCGAAACGTCGCGTCGGACATCTTAACAACCGCCTTTCTCCTTGACACCTACGCACTCAGCTAATGATGGTCCCTACTCCCTAGGCCATCATTACAACCCCAAAGGTCACGCCACGTGACCACACCCCGCCGGTTTTCTTCTCCCCGTGTCGAGGATGACGCCATCTCGAGTCCATTCTGAACGTTGCTCGGGTAAATCCGTATACCGACGACTTTCTCCGTCCATGCACTGAAAGTTTCTCGTCGAGTAACACAGTTCATAAAAAGAAGAGGCTAGATTTAAGTCATAGTTCCTTCATCAGAAGCAACGACTTAGGGAGCTCCTGTTCAAGATTGTGTCTGCTGCCCTTGACCCAATTCCACGTGAGGGAAACTTGAAATTGAGGTTGTCGCTGTTGAGAGATTTGAAGATGAACTCCCATAAATCATTCGACAACATGAACATGTTGCCGTAGTTTTTGTTATTCTTCTTTTCTCATGGATTTTTTGCTGTTGTTGTTGCCGCCGTCTTTCTTCTTTTTGGTGGATTAGATTTGGTTGCAGCCGTCACTTTTCTTCTTCTTATTTCTATTCTTTCTATAACATTGGATTTCAATGATGCTGCCATGGTGCGAAGTGAAGACTTCTGTGTGGACGATGACGGAATAGAGAATTAGGGTTACCACTATTTTAAATCTTATTTTGGGCCAATTGCTATTTATTTTGCCTTTTTTTAAAAAAAGGGGAGATTAATGATTTCATTTCTTAAATTTAATTTTAAAATATAAAATTTGATATTTTTCTATCATGGTAGTTATTTAACTTTGACTAATAATATTTTATTTGATTTTTTTATCTCAAATATTACTTTTATATGAAAAAAATATATTTTAGTAAGTATAATTACATATAATTATACTAAAATATATTTTAAATCTTATTTTGGGCCAATTGCTATTTATTTTACCTTTTTTTTTTTAAAAAAGGAGATTAATGATTTCATTTCTTAAATTTAATTTTAAAATATAAAATTTGGTATTTTCCTATCATGGTAGTTATTTAACTTTGACTAATAATATTTTTTTTATTTTTTTATCTCAAATATTACTTTTATATGAAAAAATATATTTTAGTAAGTATGATTAGATATAATTATACTAAAATATATTTTAAATCTTATTTTGGGCCAATTGCTATTTATTTTGCCCTTTTTTTTAAAAAGGAAGATTAATGATTTCATATCTTAAATTTAATTTTAAAATATAAAATTTGATATTTTCCTATCATGGTAGTTATATAACTTTGACTGATAATATTTTATTTGATTTTCTTATCTCAAATATTACTTTTATATGAAAAAATATATTTTAGTAAGTATAAATACAAATAATGTAATCAATAAATATATTTTAGTATTTATATGTAATTACCACCCAAAATAAGATTTAAAATAGTGGTAACCCTAATTCTCTATTCCATCATCGTCCACACAGAAATCTTCAATTCGCACCATGGCGGCATCATCGAAATCCAATGTTATAGAAAGAAGAAGAAAAGTGGCGGCTGCAACCAAATCGAATCCACCAAAAAGAAGAAAGACGGCGGCACCGGCAACGGCAACAGCGAAAGCAAAAAACCCAGAGAAAAGAAGAATAACAAAAAGTACGGCAACATGTTCATGTTTACCGGATGATTTATGGGAGTTGATCTTCAAATCTCTGAACAGCGACAACCTCAATTTCAAGTCTCTCTCGGCTGTCTCGAAACAGTTTCTCTCTATCACCAACCGTATGCGAATCTCCCTCACAGTCACCGATGAAACCATACCTTATCTTCCTCGACTCCTCCACCGCTTCCCTAACCTCACATCCGTCGACCTCACTCGCTTATCCCAAGCACGTGATCTCGGCGCCATTCTTACACAAATCTCCACCTTCTCCTTTGATCTGCGTGCATTGTCATGCAACAGCTTCGCTGCAAATGGATTACTAGCTTTGTCTAAAACCATGAAAAATTTGACATCTTTCTCATTTACCCCTCTCACTCCCTTTACTCGAAGAATGAGTATTATCAAGAAGAATGACCTTTTATTCATAGTTGATTGTTTCCCTTTACTCGAAAAACTCATTCTCACTTATTCCAATGATTATCCCATTGAGGAATTCTCCAAGATTGATTTTTTTGATCAGGCTGTTTTTCTTGAATAGATAATATGTTTATAGTTGAATTATAGTTCGATTTTCTTCTGTTTTATTTTAATTTTTTTGTTATGATTTATTCATCAATATTCAATGCTATGCTCTTTCGAAAACTTATTTTTCTTTGGTTTTCCGATAAAAAGAAATATGATCACTCATAATTTTAAAAATAAACTTCTTTTGATTTTTTGAGAAAACCAGCAAGATATATCTGCTGTTTGGATTTTAATAGATTATGATTACCATAGAAGTTTTATACTATATTGTTTGAATTGAGAATTTGGTTTCGATATATTTTTCTAAACTAAGAAGCAAACATTTATTCAGAATAAAAATTCATTCGGAATTTTATGTTTTGTTATAATTAAAAAGGTTACGTAGAATTTTTTTTATTTCTGTAAAAGTTGTCTGTGAGCGAAATACAACTCGTCTGAGAGCGAACAAAGAGATTAAGCGAGCTAGAGGTGCAGTCACGCGTAAATCAAATATTTTAGTTTACTTAATGGATTAAAATCGAAAAAATCCTAAGAACAATTTGTGCAGAAAACTACTATGAAAAATACTTATGCTTGGAACTTTGATGTTTGAATGTCAAAAAACTATACATAAACTCTGATTGAAATAATACGAAATTGCTTTGAAATATGAAAGTAAGCAAAAAAACACAATAAATGATTGTTTCTCTGGCTTGGCTTCTGCAGTGGAATGGACAAGAGTTAAGTCGGGAGCTAGAAGTACAAAGCCAGAGTAGAATATGATGGGAACCAAACAAGTATGGAGAAGGAAGAATGGTGAGCCAAAACAATGTTCCTTTTTCATCACGGAGTTTCCAGCAGGTCATGGAGCAAAGGAGATGTTTGAAGTCTTTTCGGGTTATGGGGAGGTTGATGAAGTTGTGATCCCACCAAAGTTGAACGTGAGGGGAAAGAGGTATGGGTTTGTTAGGTTTTTTAATGTGCAGAATGAAGAGAGGGTGGCGATCAGACTAGATAACATCTTCATCGACGAAAGAAAGTTGCATGCAAACCTACCAAAGTTATCAAGAGGTGTTGATGTAGGGGTAACAAGAACGAATGGTGGAACATTGGTGGGGGTTTGGGGGTTTAGGGTCAGAAAAAACACCCCATTAACACAGAAGGTCAGAATAAGCAGCCATTCAACACAGTGAAACGATATATGCCTGGGTTGAATAGTTCTTTTGCCCAGTTCATCGTTAACAAAGGGAAGAAACCGCTTTTCAATCACATGGAATTCAATAGATATTGAACACCTTGCCAGATTTGTAGAGAATCCAAGAATTTTTTCAGTTTTTAACGTCGCTGGCGGGAACTTATTTATGTTTCGACGATGAAACCCTTCATCGTGTTAAATTTAATGTCGCGAGAATTCTTGTTAGGACTAAATACAACATTATTTTGAACCAAAATTTCAACATTGATGTAAATGGGGATGCTTTCTCAATAAAGATTTTCGAAGATTCCCAATGTCTGGTTAGGATTGTCATTCTGAAAGCTAAATCTAAATTGCATTCCCAGTTAGCAGATGATTCTACATCCTCAAACAACAATTTTTCAGGTGGGGGTCACTTTGAGGATGATAGAGGTGAGGAGTTGGTTGGCGGGGACGGGAATAACTTTGTATCGAAAAATGGGGGTATGTCAAATGGTTAAAAGGGATGTGAAAAGCTGAAAGTTGTTTGCAGTGTAAAGAACAAAGAAGTTGCAGTGTCGGTTGTGCAGGGGATTGGTTTGTTGGAAAGGTCAACCAAGTTTAATCATTCACCTTCGATCAGAGTGCCAAGAAGTTTAGAGTCTCAACCTCCATGCTTTAGGACATGTGCATCTAGTGTGGAGGAAGATATGGAGTCAAGGGCAAGTATATATGAGGTGGCTAAAAAGGCTAGTAACAGTAAAAAAGTTTAAGGCAAAGGGAAAAATTTAAGTAACTTTGTGGGCAAGGCTAAAAGGCCCATGAAAGGAAATTTGTGGTTGAGCCAAAAGTTTAAATCGAGTTTTAGGGGATCCACAAAGAAGCTGGGCAAAAAAGCCCAATTAAGTGAAAATTTTCCAGTTAAGGTTTTACCCGAGTGTGATTCACAAAATTCCTCCTCTAGAACGGTGAAATCCCTAGTTTCAGTTTCCCCAATTTCAGAATTACCATTGAACATCGTGGCGCCGGGAGCCGGCACTAGTTCACAGTCAAAGGATTCAGGAAAATGGGTCCCTTTGGTACAAGAAAAATAAGCTATCTCTGGTGAGTCTACTCATGATTCCGTTATTACACAAGGGAATAAAAGGTTTTTGGAATCATAAGCAAAAGATGTCACGAGCAAGGTTTGGAGCGAAATTCTCGGTCCAGGGGTAGTGGGGGATGAATGTGATGTTGTATATGTGGTTGAAGTAAGAGCAATGGAAGATAGGGACCATGAAGGAATAAATTCAGTTGGTGGAAAAGGTCAAAAGTGGATGATGAATATATTCACCTACAATATTAGAGATGGGAGGAATTCTCTAAAGAGGAAGAGAGTTTAAGAATGTCTAAGAAGGGGTTCAATGGACCTATGTTTTATTCAAGAAACAAATATCCGTGAAATGTCTTATATGTTAGCAAATTCGTTTTGGGAAGTCATTGATGTTGGCTGGTAAGCAAAAAATTCACAAAGTATGCCAGGAGGTCTCATTACAGTGTGGAGGAAGTAGGTGTTAGACCCATCGTTTAGTTTCTATGTGAAGGTTTCCTTGGCATCTGTGTAAAATTCAAGGGAGTGGTATGTTATTTTGTCAATGTATATTCGTCTTACAACATCATTTTGAAAAGAAAGTCGTGGGAATAATTGATCTCTTTAAGAAGTATGTGGGTGGTAGGGGAATGGTGTATAGGTGGTGATTTCAATGAAATTAGGAACTCTTCAGAGCGTGTAGGGCGAGGTTTCAATATTAGGTCACAAGAGTCTTTGGAGTTTAATGATTTCATTAGACTCGTGGATTCAGAGGATCTTCCTACAGGGGTTATTAAGTTCTCATGGTGCAAGGGTGGGGTGAGGGCAATGAGCGGAACTGATAGGTTTTTACTATCTGATGGTTTTGTATCGTTAATCTATGTTGTCTGCCAAGAGATAGGCCTAAAGGATATATGAGACCATAGTCCATTTTGGTTGAAATGTAACAATCTCAATTTGGGACGTAAGCCCGTTCGTTCATCAAATTGTTGACTAGAACATCCATAGTTTGTGAAGTTTGTAGAAACCGATTAGATCAAGTTGGAGGTGAGAGGTTCCTACGCATATATAATCAAAGAAAAGGTTGTTGAAATTAATTCTTGTGATTATCTTATGGTAGAAGAGGTTGGATCTTCGGGTAGCTAGTTGCCATATATTCATTCAAAAGCATCACAAAACTTCTGGATTAAGTTACAGTTCTGGGAGAGTATATTAAATCAAAAATCAAGGGTTAAATGGATCAAGGAAGGTGATTTGAACTCAAAATTATTTCACAACTCTTTAAAGGCAAGAAATAGAAGAAACGGATTGGTGGGATTTAGTACATCTACGAGTAGAATAAAGAGTGTGGAAGGTGTGAAGCAATAGGGGAAGAGTTACTTTGAAGCTAAGTTCAGGGAGTCGTCATTTACTTATCCTCATCTAGATGTAATTGTTTTTCCATCTTTATCCATGTAGGAATCTGATCAACTTGAGGTACTATTCACGGTGGAGGAAGTTAAAGGTGTGGTGTGGGAGTGTGGCAGGGAAAAATTCCCTAGACCAGATGGGTACAATTTCAACTTCCTACGTAAATGTTGGAATATAATAGAAAATGATATTTTTATTTTTATGGAAGAATTTCATAGTAGAGCCAATCTTCCAAAAGCAATGTCAGCTTCTTTTGTTGCTCTAATACCAAAGGTGGACAATCCTCAAAGGTTAGGTGAATATCGCTCCATAAGTTTGGTTAAAAGTCTGTATAAAATTGTTGCGAAGTTATTGGTAAATATGTTGAAGAGGTTCATTGGGAACTCGTGTCTAGTTCCTATATGGATTTTATGCCAAAAAGGAAAATACAAGATGGGTGTTGGTGCTAAACGAGATCATAGATATGGAAACAAGAACAATGAATGAGTGTCTTATTTTGAAGGTTGATTTTTTGAAAGCATACGACAATGTTTCTTGGGATTTTTTGAAATACGTTCTGAAGAGGAGTGGTTTTGGTGTAAAGTGGTTGAATTGGATGAATGTGTGTATGCGAGAGCACTCTCTCAGTACTAGTAAACGGCAGCCCAATGGCGGATTTCTCAATGTGAGAAGGTCTGAGGCAAGGTGATCCCTTTCGCCATTTCTTTTTACTTTGGTAGCTGAAGGGTTATCAAATTTGATGACAAAATCATTTGTTTCGTGTAAGTTCGAAGGATATAAATTCAACGACTCGGTTGAGTTCCAACTTTTACAGTTCGCAGACGATATCGTTATTCTAGGGGAGGGATCATGGAGCAACCTGTGATGCATTAAGGCATTACTTAGGGGTTTTGAATTGGTGTCGGGACTAAATGTCAATCTTTGTAAAATTAGCTTGATGGGGGTCAATTTGGAGGAGGACTTTCTTCAAGCAGCATCGTCATTTTTGTGTTGTGATAGAGAGAATTTCCCCTTCAATTTCTTAGGTATTCTGGTTAGAGCAAAGGATAGAATGAAGGCGGTATAGTCACCGATCATGAATAAGATGAAGAAGAGATTATCATCTTGGAAGAGAAGGTTCTTGTATGTGGATGGTAGAGTGACATTATACAACTCGGTCCTGAATTCGATCCCAATTTACTTCCTTTCATTCTTAAAGACTCCAAAAGTGGTACTAAAGGAGTTGGTTAGAATTCAGAGAAATTTCTTATGATTGGAGGAGTTGATAAAAGTATAATTGCTTGGGTAAGTTGGGAGTATGTTTTCATAATTAAGAAGAATGGTGGTTTAGGGATTAGAAGTATATATGCCTTTAATGAATTATTGCTTTGCAAATGGAAAT